TCAACCCCCCCCCCAACAAAGGGAGAGCCGTTTTTAACAGCTCAATTGATTGATCTCATTATTTACGTAAATAATTGTTACTAATCTATTTAAGCAATTATAAATTGAAGAGGGATAATGAATTTAGTTTATAATTTATAACAATCTCTAGCATTAATTGCTAAGCTTTACAAAATTATTTACTTAATGTCTAAAACCTTTAAAAAGTAGATTTGTATTCATTCAAAGTCTAAATTCCAAATATTGACATAAGTTTCCACTTTTCATTTCATTTCAAATGGATTAAAATTTTATCAAATAGTCCTTTCAATAAGTTCTGCTCATAGATCTAAACCCCCTTAAGCGTACATACACTATCTCATTACCCCCTCCCCAATATAACATATGCTGTCATACGTTTTTGGCATGACCCCCTCCCCCTAGGGGTGCGTACGTACTTAATGGATCACGCCTATGACTAAGTAAGTCTAAAAAGTCTAACAAGTAAGTTTAAATTTTGCTAATTATTCGATATATTGAATAACTCTTATACCCAGATTCATTAATAAAATTGAAACTTTAAAAATAATGCAGATAATTTCAATCATTACCCAAGTAAAATTTTAACTGCAATTTATATAATTACTTAAATATTTACAAAATTATAAATACAGTTTTGTATAACAATAATTAATTTATTGTATATTTGTATGTAGAAAAATAGAATGCAATTTGTATTGAGTTTTGTTTATTCACCTAGATACTATATTCATTTCAATTATTATATTAATTTAAAGAACAAAATAAAAATGTCCCTTGGGCTATTTAATTTGTACAATATATTTTGTATAAATTTTAATTTTAATTTTAATTGAATGAGTTTCTGTTTGTGTAAATAGAAATAGTTTTTAAAATTAATAAATTTCTAGGACAAATATGTGTATCAATAAACAATCTATTTCAAATAAAATTATAATATATCCGGAACATAAAGTCAATATTAAATAGTTAGCTTGGTCATGTTTCATAATAATAAAATAATAATGCCTAATTTGTAAAAGTAACTGTTACAACACCTAAAAAAATTTAGCTTTGATAGAATATTAATATTGACTTGTTGACAATCACAATCAATTAATTAATCCAAAATCTCCTTGCTAACTAAATTGCGGTAATATTTTCGGTCTACTTTTCCCAGACCACGCCTTTCTATATGCGACACAAATACTACACCGGCTTTCAAACGCTTCGTAAACGCCAGGGTGTCTGTCCATACGGCACATGGAGGTTGATAATAAAATATTAATATCAAAAAATATTAACTATCTAACTATATATATTTACTCGACACAAACTTTTCAATCTCGGCCCCCGTAGCTACAGGTGCTTCTGGTTTCAGTACTACATAAGCCCGGGGCCAATGGGCTCTGGCCCGGTTGTTGACCCCAACCACCGCGCACTCAGCGATGGACGGGTGGGTCAGTAGGTAGTGCTCGATCTCTACGGGAGATATATTGATGTATTGGTTGCCAACCGCTATACGAATGACTTCCTTAAGCCTATCCGTAATGAATATATTCTCCCTCTCGTCGTAGTGTCCGATATCTCCCGTGCGATACCAGCCCTCCCCGTCCACTGCCTCCCGATAAGCCTTTTCGTTGTTCAGATATCCGGCAAACATTTTGTTACCCCGAATACATATCTCGCCGTCGGTGTTGGGTCCCAGGGTAGCGCCGGTATTCAAGTCGACCACTTTTAGCTCAGTTCCCGGGGATACCGGACCCAAACTGTCCGGAATGTATGGCTCATCAAAGGGGTTGCCTCGTGTGATGATCATATATTCTGTCATGCCATAACCTTGATAAAATTAATATTGTTAATTGAGTGAAAGTTAAATCAATTATTAAGTTATAATAGTAAATAACATGTACAATTACTAATGTTTAAATTATTATAAAACATTATCATTTATAAAGAGTGAAATTTACTTGTTATTACTTTATTAACTAGATTAAATATATTTATATAATATATATATAATATAAAACTTGAGAAAATAATAAATTAATATTCTACCATCATATTAAATAATTAAATTTATGTGAAATTAGAAAAATTATAAAATTATTAAAAATTATGATTATTAAATAATATAATACAGTACTACAATAAATATTAATAGCTCATACAAACACGAAACTTAACCGGATAGGTTTTCATAATTTCCAACGCTGTATGCGCGGGAAAATGTCCGCCACCTGACGTAACAATTTTTAAACTGGACAAATCGTATTTACGATGCAAATCACCCTCCACCAATTTGACGCCAAACGTGGAGAACGTACACAAGTAGGTGACCCTATATTTCTCGATCGACCGGAACAGTAGGTCTTCGGTGAACTCGCTATATATGACTAGTTTTACGCCCAGACATAGCTGTAGAGGCAAAATGGACGACCCGCTTATGTGGCCCATGGGGTAGGGCATGGACACCACCTGGCCATCGCCCAGGTATCCCGGATCTAATTGATGGCCGCGCTCGCTGCAAAAATTCATAAACCACCTGTGATTTAATATCACACATTTTGGCCTACCGGTGCTGCCAGATGTGTGTATTAATAGGTACGGATCCACATTAGGGTCGACCGGAAAGTGTGGTATAGCCTTCAGAGTCTGATCCCTGCCCTCGTCCACGAGCTGCTCATATGTCACGTGCTTTTCAGTCACGTGTGTATCACGTGTTGCGTTGAATATAACCACAAGTTTTATATTATTATTGTCCGACTGTAAGACACGTTTGAATTTTGATAAGTTTTTAGCTGTAGTAACGACTACTGTGGCTGATATGGAGGTGATCTCCTGTTCCACTTCGTAGGCCTCAAATGTGTCACTTAATGGACATATGGGTAGACCCAGAGATATGGCCGCAAACCGTAGGACAACGTGTTGTATAGAGTTTTGTCCAGAATATACGAGTCGATCGGTTTTGGTGACCCCTCTGTTGATGAGTGCCGCAGCTATGCTAAGGGACAGCCGTTTTAGGGCACCGATAGTCAAGTGTTCATCGGTCACAGCATCAATCTATTAATAATTAGTTTAACATAAGTTAAATAAGCTAGTTTAAAAATAAATTATATATAAAATCTAATTAATAATTTTAACACAAAATAAATCTAACCAAACAAATTGAGTCCGGGTCAAAGTGATTAAATTGATTCCATATGTATTCCCCAAGAGAGAGCTCCGGGATGTTGACCACCGGTATGTTTGAACGCAATATTCTGGGTGCCAGGGACATTTTTAATTATTAATAAAATAAAAAATATGTTTTATTTTATAAAATCTTTGTTAATATTTCATGCGTTATATAAAATCATGTCATTTAATAAACTTATCAATTAAATAGCACAGTATATAAACAACAGTGTATTACATTATATAAACAACCGTGTTAAGATAATTTGTACATAAATAAAAGTTATTGTCAATGCTAAATAACATTAGTTTAATATTTTTTAATAGACTTGCGTATAATCTAGGTAGTGATGTCATTTAGCATTTTATATTTTGTTGCTGTTATTTTTGTAAGCCATCTAGCATAATATAGTACAAGTAAAAAAATATGATTTAGTTTAGAAATTATGATACTATAAATAAACTATTAATATAGCTAACTGACAAATTAAAAGTCAAAAATTAATATTAAATGTGCAAAAAACATTTTTAGGTAAATAACCATTTATATGTATTTTTAAAGTTATATATAGTAAATTTATGTTTGATTTTTAAAATACAGTTTAGAAACAAAACATTAAATAATTATAATAAATCAATCTCTGAAAAAACAATAAAATTAAATACTTTTATTTTAACAATAATTTTTTATTATTAAAATTCAAAAAAAATTATTCAAACTAAATTGTAATTTATTTAAAATTAATTAAACACAAAAAATGTATAATTTTTATTACAATTTTAAAACTGACTTTTGGTACAAAAAGTTTAATAATAGACAACAGTATTGTCGGCAAACCAGAGGTGACTCAACCAATTGACATACGGCTCGAAACTATGGTGAATGACAATCAGGTCCTGACCGGTGATCGCCTTAAACAATATTATCGTAAACACCGGCCATAGGCTGACCACAACACCGCACACCCAATCCACACAACCCGTCACCAGTCGCCTAAACACTCCTTTTCCCTCCATTGGCACAAAATACTCGGGAATACCCTTCCTGTCGACCACCTGATGTACGAGCTCTTTGGACGGCTTTTTGAGATCATAGGCCATACCTATGAGTGCCATAAACTTAATGAATAGTGTCGACGGGTTATAAAACTCCCAAAAAGTACGTTCACTAGAGCTGTAGTCCCACGGGAAAGTATGGTGGTAGTTATGGTTACCCTCACCGAGGGACAGGTAGATAACCAGCCTATTCTCTGTAGGCAGTATATACCGGTCGTAGGGCCGGTAGCCTACGTAATGGGCTAACGAATTAACGGTAAACAAGTGGTTGAGTATAACGCAAGTCCTTAATACACCGCATAATAGGAATGCCGTTAACGGGTTTTCCGACCATAAATACCAGGGTATAAGAGTCGGCACAATGAACCCGAATATAAGCGCCAATGGTATGTAATAGTGATGTTGGTATACTAATAAAGGGTCGGCATATAAGTCCTCAAACGACAGTTTACTCCCCCAGTCCTTAACCAACTGGGCCTTCCTTAATAGCCACCACCCGTAATGGGAATAAAACAGACCCCGACTCGGGTTTTTGGGGTCCTGTTCCCTGTCTGTCCACTTGTGGTGTGTCCGGTGGTCCCGGGCGTAGGACAGGGCCGAGCCATTCAATGTCGTTGTTTGCAGTATTAATAGCAATATTCTCAGCGGTAGTCTGGCTTTGAATGACTTGTGCGCCCATAACCGGTGACCTCCTATTAAGAGTAAATTATTTTTAAAAATAATTATCTATTTATTAATACTTTTAAAAATATATTTTATGATTATAATTACTTTCAATAAATATTGTTTCACCTAGAAACCAATAAAAATAACCCTGCCCCATTCACTGATAATCTAACTAGTGTTAATATTTAAGTACAGTTTATCATTGCTAATAAAATAAAATATACATTTTATTACTGTTAAAATAAAATTATATTTAAACTTAATGTATTAAAGTTTACTTGTAGTAACTAAACTATAATATAAAATTACTTTACTTAAATTAATTAACTATAATATTAAAGCAGTGATTAAATGTGTGATTTGTTTTACAAACACCAGATATACAAACTAAAGGCAAATAAAATGACTACAAACCCACAGACATTCCCAGTCCTGAAAATATGGATAATAAGCTCACAAATATGGCTGTGAAAAAACGAACTGGGTTAAATAAGCCATGTACATAAGCGTAGATTGCTGTCACATGAAGCCATATTAAAAATATAACATTGGTCCATTTAATTTGTTTGCAAGTGTAGCCAAATATGCATCCAGGTGCTTTCTCTGGTAGTGATGAATCACATTCAACTATTATTTTAATGTTATTTTCATTTTTAATATGATCTTTATTATTATTATTATTATTTAAATCCATAATGAGTTAAATGTAGCTAGTTAAAATTAATATTTACTAATATTTTGTTACATAAAAGTTATTAATTATAAAAATAATATTGGTAACTGAATTACACAAAATATAAAACACAATATAGTATACAAAAAAAACAAAATAAAATTGACTTTTAAAAATGAGTTAACTTAACATTATTTCTCAAACATGTTTAAAAAAAATAATTAAATTCTCATTAAGCACAATCAATTCAAATTATTATTAAATAATTTAATTATATATGATATCAGACGTGAACAATAATCAATTGAGAGCACCGGAAGGTTGAACATGTAAAACAACATTAAATGTACTGTAGTGTGTATTTTGTTAGCGTGTTTTGTAGTGTGTCGAGTTTAATATCTAATATTTTTTGACAAGTCATATGCACAACATGTTATCACATGAAAAATTCCCACTGATACCTTTAAAGTAAATATGATTGATTCACAAACTATTTAATATATTATATAGGTTTATTATACAATATACAGTAGTTATTATACAATACACAGTATTTTATTGTATAACAAAGCAATTCAAAGTTGCAAGCAATTAAAATTTTCTTACCAGGAAAAAATATTTTAAAATAGTTTATTGATTAGTATAATAGTATTGATTACAATAAACTAGTTGTGTACATTAGCTAGATACAATACCATCAGCTATTAAGTAGCTTATTATACAATTTATTTTAGTGTAAACTATAATACATGTTAAATGGATTGATAATCAATCATACAAAAATCCTATTTTTAGATTTACATTAAATTAAATTCAGTACTTTAGTATAAGGGAGTGTATTTATTGTTTAAGGTCATTATTGGTTAACAAGTAACATGTCGTATAATGTTTTTCATGTATTATGATATCTTAAGTGCATAATAAGTATTCATTAACGCAATTTTTATTCACTGGAAATTCACACTAATGATTTATAGTAAAAATTGTCCAATAACATTACGTGCCCAATTACTTTTATTAAAACTAATCGGTCTAAAAAATATGTTTAAAATGTTTTCAAGAAAATTTATATTAATTTTCTAAGAATTTTAACTCTTTTCAAGGTTTATATCATATTTATTTAAAAATATTTTTTTACAAATCGATAACAACTACTATTTTTATTAACAAGTAAGATTGTATTAAAGTAAAAAATATTTAGTTAAATTTATTTAAATTCATCTTAAACATAATAAACTTTTACGGTAATAAAATATTATTAGTTATTAAATAGTTATACTAATCTTTTGAAATAATAGTACAATAAATACAATATATTATATCAAGATAATATTATATTTATTGAAATAAATACGACCAAAAAATTTACTTTTTATTTTATTTATCAATTAAATTTGAACAAAACTCAAAATGAATATAATATATTATGCCCTGACCATTTGGTGTTTCATTGTATTAGTAGTACTGTATTAATGTTAAATGTTACAAACAACTTTTAATTTATTATATTTTGAACAAACATTAAAACAGGAAATAAAAAGAAATCATTTTTCATATGAATAATAATAATTAAACGTTCAATTAATATGCTATAATAAAATAATATACCATTTATTATTATTATATTTTATATTTTTGAATTTATATTTATATTATATGCTATTAAAAAGTCGATTTCCACTCCACTTTAACTCTCGTACATAATACAATGAAAATTTACACAATTAAATAAAATTTTTAAATAAAAACAAATTATAAGAAAACTGTTACAAAAACTATTAAATTGAGTTAAAATTTAAATATTACAATCACAAATTGTAACATTATAATACGTTATAATATCAGTACCAGAAATACGACTTGATTGTTTGTATTTTCGGTACATTTTAAAACACTATATCTTATGTGTATTTTGTATTCAGTTATCATGTTTTAATTTTTAATAATTTGGTATATTGCAATAAATATTGAAAGATTAAGATTAAAGCTTTTTCTGATACACTATTGGGATTGGCTTCTCAGATATTATTAAAAACCACAATGATATGTTTAAGATTAATAATTATTGAAATTATAAACTTCAATTAAAATTTTATTATTCAAATATATGCTTGAATAAAGTGCTCTAACCAAGGCTGGGTTATTTTAATTATATTTGTAGTATAGATAATAAATTTAAAAATCCCCTTTGTTGTATTTTAAGCAATATATTATTTAGGTTCATAAAGGTAATAAATTATTTTTTTAATACATTTATTCTAAAATTCAATTATTAGTATTAATATATAAATTGTGATAAAATGATTTTAATATTTATTTTAAAATATTATATTTTGAAAAACCACATTAAAATAGAAAACAAACATAAAACAGTATTCTATATTGAACAGTATTGAACAATAATAAATATGCCATTAATATGCTATAATAAAATAAAGTTTTCAAACATAATGTACCAAAACATAAAATCTCTGAAAAGATAATTAATAACATTGTTTGATTGAGGTTTATGTTGTCACAAGTAGTCATTTTAATAACAATAAAATTTACTTTTCAACTCACA